AAATTCTTCCCTGTGAGGGTGCTGAGGCACTGGCACAGGGTGCCCAGAGAAGCTGTGGCTGCCCCATCCCTGGCAGTGTTCAAGGCCAGGTTGGACACAGGGGCTTGGAGCAAGCTGCTCTAGTGGGAGGTGTCCCTGCCTGTGGCAGGGGGTTGGAACTTTAAGGTCCCTTCTGACCCAAACTAGTCTGTGATGCTATGGAAGACGGGCAGCCCCGTCCTCCTGGGCTCTGCTGTTAGACCTGAGGCGCAGTACCAGAGGTATGCGGCAGAGATGCACTGCCACCTCTTGTTCACATAGCGCAACAGAGGAGCACTGGCTGCCAGGCTGTGTGTGGGTAGTAGCAACGCCTCCAACCGCAGACCATACCGTGTAGCTCTGTGTAGTTAGACCCACTCCTGGTTAAGAACAGTTCACTGGCAGTTCAGCTGCTTTCAAGGTATCAGGGGAGACCTTATAACCTTGTGAGGTGGGCTGATGCCAACCTGATGAAGTTTAACCATGCCAAGTGCAAGGTCCTACACCTGGGTCGGAGCAATCCCAGGCACAGCTACAGGTTGGGCAGAGAAGAGATTCAGAGCAGCCCTGTGGAGAAGGACTTGGGGGTGCTGGTGGATAAGAAGATGCACATGAGCCGGCTTCAGTGTGCGCTTGCAGCCGAGAAAGCCAACCGTATCCTGGGCTGCATCAAAAGGAGCGTGACCAGCAGGTCAAAGGAGGTGATCCTGCCCCTCTACTCTGCTCTTGTGAGACCTCACCTGGAGTATTGTGTGCAGTTCTGGTGTCCTCAACATAAAAAGGACATGGAACTGTTGGAACAAGTCCAGAGGAGGGCCACGAGGATGATCAGGGGACTGGAGCACCTCCCGTATGAAGACAGGCTGAGGAAGTTGGGGCTGTTCAGCCTGGAGAAGAGAAGGCTGCATGGAGACCTCACAGCAGCCTTCCAGTATCTGAAGGGGGCCTATAGGGATGCTGGAGAGGGACTCTTGATTAGAGACTGTAGTGATAGGACAAGGGGTAACGGGTTAAAACTTAAACAGGGGAAGTTTAGATTGGATATAAGGAGGAAATTCTTTCCTGTTTAGGGTGGTGAGGCATTGGAATGGGTTGCCCAGGGAGGTTGTGAATGCTCCATCCCTGGCGGTGTTCAAGACCAGGTTGGACGAGGCCTTGGGTGATATGGTTTAGTGTGAGGTGTCCCTGCCCATGGCAGGGGGGTTGGAACTGGATGATCTTAAGGTCCTTTCCAACTCTAGCTATTCTATGATTCTGTGATTCTGTAACAGTCTTCCAATACCTAAAAGGGGTGGACAAGAAATCTGGACAGGGAGTTTTTACAAGGGTATGTAAGGACAGGACAAGGGGGGATAGCTTTAAACTGACAAAGAGGAGATTTAGGTTAGGGATTAGGACAAAATTCTTTATTATGAGTGGTGAGACACTGGCACAGCTTACCCAGAGAAGCCCTGTGAGGGAGAAGGGGAGGCTTCCACTCACTGAAGATGACTACCCACCATGGAGCACCTCTCCACCACCACAGGCCTTCACTGAGAGCTATCAGCACAACCTAGAGTCAGGCAGCAGTAAACAATGGTACAAACCGCAGCCCCAAACAGACTTCCATACATTTGTATGTTTATTATTTCAAAGTACAATATATACATAAAGTGATATCTTCAAAAACTTTATACAGAAATGGGTATCTACAAAATTAAATCAATAGACATTCTGTGTATATTCAAACAACATACATACATATATTGGAAGATTCGACGTAGCTTCAGTTAAAACACAAAAGGGGGAAGGAAGCCCCCTTCCATCTTGGAAAAGATCTCGCCACCACCCAGCTCCCTCTGTCTGCCCTCTGCCCGGTTTCAGGTCCTTGTGGAGACACGGCAACTCCAATTTCTAGTGCCACCTACTGCTGCTATTTACCATCACAGCCGTTTTCCACAGACAGCAGGACAAATCTTGTTCCCTGAGCCCCTTCCTAAATAGGGGTCTCTGCAGCATGCGGGCTCCCAGATTTACACTCAGAAGCCAGAGTTCCGATTTCCTTTTATTTCTTTTTAGTTATGAACCAAAATACTGTGATGAAAAGTATCTCAAGAGTAGCTTCGGTTTTATCAGCTGGATATTGCAGGTGTTGGCAGCAACCAGTGAGGATGATGACAATGTATCCGAGGAACAAACTGACCTCTGCTGTTTTGTGGAATACTATTGCACAAGTCTATGTGGCCATGAGCCACTGATTTCTATAGCATAAAATTATATTCTTCAGAGGGTTTGGCTTTAGACACTGACATGATGGATTTTAGAGAGCGGGGTAAGAGCATAGGCAGCTTTTCTGTAGGGCCTCTAACAACATCTGGATGCGTGATGTTGGAATTCCAAGAGCACCCTGAGTATTTAAGAAACAGATGCTTAAGCCTGTAGGATACAACTAGCTACAAGCTTGGGATTTTCAAAAGCAGCCTGTGGCAGTTCCATGTCTAACAGGCACTGAATTTCAGTGACAGCTATGCAACTGACTGCTCCAGACTGCCTTCAAAAATCAGTTTATCACTTATCTCTCTACAGCAGGACAGTTTTCAATCTCAGGTTCACCATATAAAGTTTCCAACACAAGGGTAAGCGAAACGTGATTGCTACCCAAGCCCTATGCTCACAAGCTACTGCACACCAGCTACTGCTCACCTATTTGAACCACCCCATAAAAACCCACCTTTCAGGGGAAGCGTTCTTGTTACGTGCACCAACACCATTACACCCCTGACAATCTACCCCATGGAATCAACAGGCAGCTGGCTTGCCAGCAACATGTCTGGGGCTAATACAACACTGCCTCTCAGAAACGAGCAACACTGTGAAGCAAAGTTGCTGGCTGACCCAGTGATGTATTCACTGCATTCTGGGTTTGATGGATAGTCATTTGCCAATGTGCAAGCTAGAGTGAAATTTCCATCTGTAAGGGGTATGCTTAAAAGAATACCTGTAGAAGGTGGCTTTGGTCCATGAAAACAATGTGGTATTTTGGTTGCTTTGTACACCTCCATAACCAAGAAAAAGCATGAGAAGCTACTAATGCTACAGAGAGAGAAAGCAGCATTTCCAGCAGGGCAGGAGGACAGATAACTCGGTTGCTCAAATAACTTAAAAAGGAAAAACAACCATGTCAAAAAGAAATAAGAACTTCCACAATGTCATTGCACTTGTTCCATCTGCACCACACCTCTCCTTCATTTACATTGTACACCTGGAGAACATACATTAAATGATGACAGTATTAATATGGTATCTAAAATACTGGAGTCATTCAGCTGAAAGCTTGAAAATATCCAGAGACCTGGTACATTACATGAAAATAAACATATAAGAGCTAAGCTATGTTTTGACATGCAAACTGTTCTAGATACTTCCTTTCAGCAGGTCGAGTTCAGTCACTAACTGCCTGTTCACTTCCTGGAAGCTGGTGACAAATCTGTTTCAGCAGAGCCAGGTATTTTCCTCTTCCCCTCACTTAAAACAACAGTAAAGCAGAGGTAGTCCCATGACTGCACTGGTCCAAATTCCCTAACACTTCAGATAATGCTCTCAGGAATTAGAAAAATAGATGTATAAAACCCACCCAGATTAAAGACTCAGTTTCTACAATGCTCAGTCAGGATTTAAATAATTTGTTTCCAACCCCCCTTTACAAAGAAATACTTAACCCTTTGACACTGAAGGGACTTGCTATCCAAGACTCTTAAAGCTCTTCTGGACCACAACCCAGGTGTTGATCCCACAAGGACTTTCAGAGATGCCCATCTTTAAAGTAAAAAGGAAGTGGCACTGTCTTGAATCAAACTACTCAAACCAAATGAGACCGTTCTTGGTCAATCTGGTTCACTACAAAGCTCAAGTGACTCAGTGGCACCTGAAAATGAGTACACACCCCTAAGTCACTGAGATGCTTTGAGAAATTATCCTCCTGTGTGCTGGATTTAGGCCCCCTGTTTTGTGTATGATGCAAATGGCTCCTGCAGTAAGATGGATGCCCAGTGCCCCAGCCCTGTATCCTTCCGAATTAAAATACTATAGCTATGCTTTAGCTAAATTTACATTTATTTTCCATGATAATGGGAAGTTCTTGGTATTTAATAAAAATCCCAAAGTATCTGTTTACACTGTGATCTGGTCAATTCATTTTGGTCAAAAGGCAATGAATAAAGAAACTATACATTTACTGCTGGAATAAACATATCCTGTAAATAACTTATCCCAGAATTCAAATGTGAACATGATGTTGTGACTAACCAGAATCTTGTCACCTTGATATTCTTCTCTCCATCACCCTCTCAGCCACTGAAGGACTAAATAACAGTTCTCAGTTTGTGCCATTTTGACCAACTAATTCTTCACAACAGTAAAATTAAGCAGTCACCCAGATTTCACAGTCCAACCGATAGGTTAAAATCCCATTTAGATGTACTTCCCATTTCTTACCATTACTTTCACTGGCTGGTCTAACCAGAAAATTTAGTTAGCTTCCATTTGTCTCTATAAACAAATGCAATCATGATGTCTGCCTGTACACACATACAAGTGGGCAGTTAAAGCTCCTACTTTTTAAATACTGTTAGTTACGCAGAAAGCCAGAGAACTTCATTAACCAGCTATCTACTATCAGACTTCTTTAGATCAATGTGTCTAATTTACAGGATTTGTCAAAGTAACATTTGTTTCAATTACACACACTCAAAGGATTCAGAAAGTTGCTTAATCCCATAGTTTCACTTCTCTTGACTAAAGAAATTGACCAGCTGAATGTTAATCTAAAGCGGAAAATATGCAATATCATGGCCACCATTTAAAAACAAAGGTTTGTGACAAAGCATTTTTCCATGCGAATGTCAGAAATGCTTCATCAACCTAAATATCAGAAATATGCAAGAAAGGAAATGATGTCTGAAAGCCCTTAAAGCTCAGTAACACTGGATATGTTCCACAGCAACTAAGACATAATTGGTTTTATTTTTTCAAGCTCCGTCATTAAGAGACTGATTCATTATACAGTGCAAGAATTAAAATCTTACTGCAACTCACTCAAAACACAGTATGCACTGCAAAGCATCTGTATGGCATTGCCAACAAAAGGGTTAGATAAATGTAGTGTGTAGTGAAAGTCAGCAACACCTCAGGCTGGTACTGGGGAAACAGAACCATGCTGATGCCAAACCCTGTAGATCTCTCACACGAGTTAGCCTGGAGGGTTAAAGGTTGTATATGCAAAATAGCAGATGCTTGTGCTGGCAGGCCATCAAGTTCCAGGGAAAATGTAAAAAAGAGTGGTGTGTCGCACCTGCCTTTTCTGCATCTTCATGTTGGTTATTCCACAGAAGTTTTAGTTATGTCTGCTTTATTCTCTGTTCCAGTTCATGCTTGTGTTTAATAAGCCGTTCTATTTCTGTTCCTAGAGTTTGAAGGTTTTCCTTTGGGGGTGGAAAAAAAAAAAAAGGATAGGATAAGTTATACAGGGAAAGTGAGTCAGCACAAAATGCACCAAGAAGTTAAAATTACTGTTTATATGTCAGCAGGCTGTTACTTTCAAGTATCCAGAACAAGCACAAATGATTAGACAAACTGGAGAAAACCAAGCTCATTTCAATAAAGGATGCAAAGCTCTCAGCAGGTCTTTTTTTGCAGTTACTAATATTCTACAAGCTGTCTAGAAAGTATAGTATTTAAGGGAAATGATGATTATAGGAAGAGATTTCCAACTCCTGCAGAACACTGCAGTCCAGCTGGCAGCCTGCACAACATTTCCCAGCCTGCCATTCTTTCCCTTGCAGCAGACACACTGCCACAGTAGCTGAACAGGGCACAGGGCCAGGCACGTAGACTGTGCCCCTGGCTCCATTTCACTAAGGGAAAGTATGGAAAGACCCCTTCCTGCACAGGCAGCCTACAATTTGTTTCAAGAAGCAACTCATTAGTGCAGCAAACTACAAGGGTCCCAAACCAGACATTCAGCATGAATTATGTTAACTTAATCTTAACCCAATGCTACCAGCAGCACCAATTCACAGTGATATGGCTCTGAAAAACCACCTCTTTTTAACAGCATGTATCTCTTTGAAGGCAGTATCTCAGAACTCCAAGAATGTGTGGGATAACTGGCATAGCTACTCACTTTCAATGTAATATTTTTCAGTAACGTATCTTCTAACACAGCCTGTAGCTTCCTGTTTATCTCTAAGGAGAGTTCCAAGGTGAGACCACTATCTGCAGGATGCGATGTATACAGAGATGCCATAATCCCGCCGCGTCTACTCAAGTGTACTTTGTTGAAGTCAGAGGCCTCTGATGACAGTGTTCCAGCTTCTTCCCGCAAAATGTAGCTCTGAATAATTCTGGGGGGGGGAGGGAAAAAATTTGAAAGGAAAATCCCAGCATTACAAGGCAATGAAAATCAGACACTGAAGCAGCTTCAGACTCCTGGTAGAATAAGACAGTAAAAATCAACTCCTGCGATTTCTAGGCCAGGGAAAACCTGGGACACCAAAATAGCTATAGGAGGTGCTGGTAAGCTGACTCACTACAATACACAAAGTTTACATATTTAGAAGTATTCTGAGGAAGTAATATTGCTACTGGAGCAAAAAATGCCTTTACTTTGCTGAAAGACTCTGGACAGGGAATCTTAAGCCTTCTACAGATGAGACAAGTTTCTGCTCAAGAACCTTCATGAGCTGTGATCATGTTTATTAAATGGCACCAGATGGGCATAAATGCATAGGCTTCTTAAGCAAGGGCTATACTTAACAGGTAACTGGACTTTCCAGAGGAAGGTGTATGCCATAGTTTCTTCCCCTCCTAAATGAAGTTCCAGAAGATGAGATTCTGTAAGAAGAGACTTCCATGTAAGTGGCATCTTGTTTCATGTTAAATCCTGACCACTTTAGACTCAGATGCACTGTTTGACAGGCATGCCAGACTACCATCTGGAATTACGCAGATTCTCCTTCCGAAACAGACACAATCAGCACCCTTTTAAACACATGAAAAGAACAGACTCTCCTGTTAGCCAGTGGCAGCAGTCCACTTCAAATCAGGCACCTGGTGACCACTTTGCTACCGAAAAAACCCACTTGCACCAGTCTATTCCTCCTGAAAATACTTAGTAATAGACAAATAGGTAATTACTGTAACTGCTGGGAAAAGATAATCAAAAATACCTCAAGACTAATCTTACCTTTAAGATCTATTAACACTGCAATATTTTTATTGCTTTAAATATTTCCATTCCATTACTTGTCTTAGATAAAATCCAGAATACTTGTCTAATGCACCAGCTCAACACTGAAAAACTGTATTAAGAGGACTCAGAACATACTTTGTTTTTTTCCTGATTTCCTCCACCAGCTGTTTAATGTGATCCTCCATAAACTCCATCTTCTCATTCTTTCGAGCATGTGCCTTCTGCAGCCTTAGTATTCTTTCAACCAAGACAGCCTTGTCCACCTCTGGGAAACTATCCACAGCTACTGAAGATCCAGTATTCTCAGGCGACCGATCCTCATTGCTGCTGCGCGCATTCAGGGACCCTGCCAATACATTCGTATTTGTAAAAGCTCTTTTTGCTTTCATACCAGGCAAAATATCTCTATCAGTGCAGTGTATGAATTCATTACATTTCGGAAGCTTAAAATGCTTCCTTCAGAATGTCAGTTTCCCTTATATGTTAGTGAGGTTTTATATAAACAGTCCTTAACATTTAAGTGCTACATGCAGTCAGCAATACAGTCCCCTAACACTGGCATAGCTCCTTTAGCGTAAGTGTGCTTGCTTCAGTAATACTTATTCCTGCACAAATATCCTCATGTTCATTAATATTGCTTTGTACAAACCTGAGCTGATTTTAAGCATACATGTTTAGACTGGATATTAGAAAAAACTTTTTCACAGAGGGGGTGATAAGGCATTAGAACAAGCTGCCCAGGGAAGTGGTGGAATCACTGTGTCTGGAAGTATTCAAAAAACCATGTAGATGAGGCCCTCAGTGACAGGGTTTAGTGGTGGATCTGGCAGTGCTGGGGTAATGGCTGGACTTGATGACCTTAAAGATCTTGTCCAATCTAGTTGATTCTATGATTCTATGTTTTGGTCTGCTAAAATTGCAGCACTATGAAAACCATGCAGACTGAAAAAAGCCCTTTATATAAACACTATGCAAAACTGATCACTTAGAGCTTGAAGTATCTTATTTTCTTTGTCTTCTTCTAAGTACTTCCCTCTCTCATACAGTTGAGATTACAGGACACTTGGACAACTAACCCAACTTAAAACCCAAAGATATTGGGGAAGAAAACAGATGTTGTTTGCTACCCTAAAGATAACCACTTCTAACTGGATAGAAAGTAATGAACTTGACACAGATACACTGATGCCTCCAAACATGTCAATTGATTTCTCATTTACACAGTTGCAACTGTAAATAGTGCAATTAAACAAGGTTGGAAGCCATTGCTCATCTTTGCTTTGCCTCTGGCAGTATGCATGAGGGTCCTCTATAAACTGGAGCCCTCTGAACATAAAAGCAACAAAGTAAAAAAGGTAGGCATTGAAAAAGAACAAGAACACAAACATTATAAACACTAAACTTCAATCTCATAACACGAGTAAGAGCCGACAACTGCATTCAGCCAAGTGCCTGTTGTTGCTTAAAGGCTATTTTGTCAGCTTTACTGGGAGGCTGCACAAGCACAGAAAGAGCAAGGCTTAGGGCAGCATGCCATGGCAACCATATTAAAATGAAAGGATTGCTTTGGCAGCCCTGCTATGTGCGATATTACCTGATGAACTGGAACGGCTCCCCATGCTGCTGACTTCTTTGTCATAATTACCATTTTCCATCTGATCCAATTTCCTCCGTGCTAAAAGTATAACAAAATGATGGTTAACAACAGCAGAATAAAACCCAAGTATCAATGTCACCCACTATACAAAACCTCGAGTTGTCTCTGATCCGCACTGATTTAACAGGGCTTGACAACTAAAAGGTAAAGGTAGCAACTCAGAAAACCCACCAAGCAGCTCCTCTCCCTGCCTCAACCATGAAGCACCTGGATGCAACACCCACAATGACCCCTACACCCTGCAGCAGTTGTTAGTTGAAGCTGTCATCCATAGGATTAACTGGGAACCGTAAGATTTAAATTTGATTTTACTTTTGAATAGGACCGCCATGTAAATAACTGATGAATGGCAGAATGGCAACTCTGTTCTAAGATCTCTCAACTATACGACTACTGGGAACTGAGTGTAGCACTTGTGCCAGAAGAACCACTCAGTTCATCAGGGATGAAGAGGGAAAGTGCAGAACTGTTCATTTATGTACAGGAAGAGATATGGAACTCTTTTGAGGAACTATTTCAGAGAAGAGATCCTCTTGGCATTGTGCAAGGCTTTGATATTCAAATCTATTTGCATTCAGAGCATATGTATTATTGGGTATTTAATGACTTCTATTTGTTGACAGAATTAGTCATCAGTCTCTCCATATCTATCTTTAAAAACCTGTTAAATATACTAAAAAAAAATTGAACTGTCACCAGCAATTCCTGATACAGTCACAGGAAGTAAGAAACTTCTAGTAACTTCTGAATGTACTCCTACACAGACCAGGATCCAAATATACCCACAGTGACATTTCTGTAGTCATGTATGTGATAACAAAGACCAAGCTCTACTGAAAACAAATATTTCATTTTATATCTACACCAATTTCAGACGTCGCATTTAAGACTGAAAATTGGCACTAAGGATTGTTTCCTGAACTGCAGTTTCTGCTCTACAAGATTTAACTTGTTCACTCACTCTCACTGTCTTTAGAAACAGGGAGAGCTTGATGTGCCACACTCAAACTACACAGACAGGACCCTCATCTCTACCAGACACTGTAGTGGGCTACAGAGGGAACTGATTCATTATAACCAAGAATAATTCCAACCTAGCTGAAGTTGTTTTGCAAGATCTTTCAGGTTTGCTGCATGCTTGCGCTTCTGGGTAGCCAGTTCATCTTTCAGTTCATCCACGTGGGTCTTCAGTGCTGCTAGTTCTTTCTGCTCTGAAGCCAGTTGAGCCTGTAGTGTCTCAACCTCCAGCTTTCGCTGATCCTGCTCCTTCTGTAACCTGGTGGCCTGAAATTGCAGTTTTATTTTTCAGTCATATACAAAAAAAAGCTCCAGCTTAACCATACAAAGCTCTAATTCTGCACTTTTCACCTCAGAATCATTCACATTTTACATTTATTATTTAGGCTAAAGATTACCACTGCAAAAGGATATGCAGCACAGTGCAATGCTGCAGGAAGACTCCTGAGCTATTTTGTACTGCATGATACAGTACATTATGCAAATGTTTTTGAGGTAGTTAAGGAGTCTTCCTTCTACAGATCTGCATAGCTGTAGAGAGCTGTACAGTGCAGTCACATTACACTCCATGACACACTGAGTTTACTAAAAATTACATTTATCTCATAGTACAAATTGGACCTAAGAAACAGTTCACAGTGATAAGTTCCTGAAATTACATTTTGATTGTTTCAATGACAGCTGCACAAGATAACAACTCTGTATTCCAAGACAGACAGAAAGAGAACCACAGTAACACCCCCTCATTCCAGTGCAGCACGCCTCAGGATTTCTTTTCCCTTAGGAAACAAGGTGTTCACATCCCACTGCTATTATTCTACCCAACTGGCAAACTCGGTGAGTAATTGTGGTCAGGTAAGTAAAGACACAAGGTGTCAGTCTCTTTTATCGGTATCAGACATCTTATTAGTGCAAAAAACAAGCTGCATGCTGTACTCACCAGATCATCCTTAGTCTGTTGAACACATTCCAGTTGATTCTGCAGCTCTCTTTCACTGTAAGAAAGCTTATCCACCTGGCTCTGTAAGGAATTGTTTTCAGACTGAAGCTGGGCATTCTTACTGGTTAATTTTTCAGTGAATATCAATAGCTCAGATTCTCTTTTCCGACTACCTTCAATGTCCTTCTGAAGATCAGCAATCAGAGAATTGAAACCATCTATTTCCTCCTTTAAAGCACTGATTTCTTGTTCATCTCTGTCAAAACAATTGTATCTCATTAGGGACAGCCTGAGCTTAAGGATACAAAACTTTGCTGAAATAAAAGCATTTAGGTCAAGACCAAATAAGACACAGAAATAATTAATGATGCTGGGCCATCTGTTTGTCACGGGATCGTTCTAAATGCCAAGGGACTTTGCAGATTTCATTTCATGACGTGACGGATATCTGTATCCCACAGAATAATGTGTAGTCATTTGCCTCCTCAAGGAAGACAGTTTCTCTGTATTTCACTTCATAAGCTTCAGTATAGAGTATAAGCAAAACCTTCAAAACAACATTCTGTAGGTAAAAGGAAGGTCTGCAAACCCAAAGGTAGCCATTCCATAAGAGGACTTGTCTTTAAGAGATGGGGAAATACTCCAGCTTTGTGCTTCTCTAGGACAGCGGTACAGTGACTTCTCAAGCATCCTTTTCCAAACAGTGCAGCTCTATTCAAAGGACTGTCTCACTCCACTATCCCTCTACAAAACAGCTCTTGTTTCTACTGAAGCACTCCCATTAGGAGACACTTTATCACTTGAAATCCATTTGAGAAAGAACTGTAACTGACAATACAACCTACCTTTCAGTGAGTGAAATTAATTCCAAAATTAAACAGCTGTTAAAGTTACAGACTAAAAACTTCCTCCTCTCATTTGCTCTTACAATATTATTTCATACTTGTTCAGTCATAGGATTTCCCACATCATTCTAAAACCTTATCTTCCAACAGCAGCAGAAAAACCTCTCACTTCTCTCACACGGACTGTATATATTCAAATTTAAATCTCATCTCAACATGTTTCTTCAAGTAGAGGTGAGGCTCAGGCAATCTCAATCATTAATAATTCTGAAAATGAACTATAATTTAGCAAAACTAAGTAACTGAATTCTGCTAGAACTCTACTGCTGTATGTTATATGCTTCCAGCTACAAGAACGAGGAGTTTGTGTGGTCGATGACAGAAGTCAGCTAGCATTGGACTACCAAAGGATGACATCAGATGTACTGCACCCTGCCTTCAGGATTTTTTAGGCTAATTCCACATTTCGGAAGACTTAAAACTGAACAACTATGGCATTGATTTATTTCAGCCATTTATGTTGCAAAATAGCAAATACATAAAATTGTTTTTGTGAAATACTTTCATTCATCCACCACAATTTTGAAGCAATTTATCTTTCCAGTTTAGCTGCTTTTTCCCAGTCTTTTAGTAAACCAAGCACTGGGTAAACATCTGGAAGACTTAACTTCCTATAGAGTGTGCCAGAAAGCAAGCACTTAATGTAATAAAGACAGACATTAAATTAGATTTATTAGTCTTAATCCTCTTGTCTAATAAAGAGGCTGTCAAGGTTATCTCCAGTACTAACAATATTGATTTAGATTAGAAAAAACACTTACATTAGGACATGGATTATTCAAATCAAAGATCAAATCAAAGCATCAATAATTTCAGTAAGCAAAAACTTTCCATATCCCAGATAATCTTTTAAGCCATTTCCCAAAGTGCACAGCTGTACCTCTGATGCTGATCCTGCAGCCGATCCACAGTTTTCACTCTGTCCAGCAAATTCTGAATTTCACTTTTCTGTCTATTAATGATTTCTTTATACTTGGATAACTCATCTTCTGTTCTTAAGCGCTCATCCTCCAGACACTTTACCTAAATAGAAGAAAAACATAACAATAAATCAGAAGCTATTTATTCTCCCAAACTTCAGAACTGAATCATTCTGATCAAATGTCTAAATTGTTATACAAAGCTCTTGTGTCATTTTTGGTGGCTCCAAGCCAAGCTTAGAACATTTTAGAAGTATTTTTGATTAAAACAGACACAAAAGAGAAAAAGGAAAAAATAACCAAATTAAACAAGTGTGAGTAACATTAATTTTGTCCAGACCCTCAAACTTATCAGTCTAATGGACAGCGACACAAAGACATCATTTTTCCCCAGTTACCAGACCAACCCCATATTATGTCTTCATCCTTTTTTCTAAGATCCTTTTGAGCCAAATCCCTGCTCTGGAAGGAGGGACTTGCACATTAATCTATTAACTGTTCAGAAGTTATGGATAGCACATACTCCTTACCAGAGATCGCATGTACTCTGCAGAACTGGCTTCACAGGTGGGAAGAGTTTACAAGTATTTTTTTCCTTTTCCAAAGTTACTAAATTTACTGGATGTCTACAAAACTGTTCCTCCCCACTTTTCAGTCAAACAAGGTATGTACCATGAAACAACACTTTGTACTATGGATCAATTGAAACATCCTGAGAAAGGCTACCCAGAGTCAACAGTTACATACTACTACTAGTCTCAAGTCAGCCCATCTAGTCACACCACTTATTCCAAAAGAAGTATACCTTCAGCCCCACTGTAACCCAACACAGCACATATTACCTTTGTTCTCAACGTTCGAAGCTCATCCATGCCTTCTTTAAATGTTCTCTTCAAGTCTTCCAGTTCTTTTATTTTAGCATGATGCACCTTTTTAAAGAGTGAGAAGCTCCTTGTGAAATCTAAATGGACAGTGGCATCTCAAAAATATCCAGGCCAATGCAGGCCAGAACAGCTGAAAGGACTTGAGGCAGAACAGGTACCCTAAAGGTTTGTTTTACTTATTCAAAAAGCAAAGCCTAAAAGCTGCTTTATTCTCAAAAGAAATGAGAACAAAAGTGAGATTACAGACTCTGGTTTTAGGTGTACAAATCTATGCCACAACAGCCGCCGAGGAAAGTTCTAGGCACTTGGTTAACTCTGAAGACAGCGTATGCACATCTGAGCTGTGAGCAGGTACTAAATCATTAGAGAATTCAGCTTCTGGGCTAGCAAATTTCTACACAGAACAAAGGCTGTCTCTCCTTGCCACACAGCTTGGTCAAATACCAGTCAGAGAAAGGTCTGCCTGTCGTTTGAATTTGTACTCCAAATTAAAGCAACACTCACGTTTATAAATCAAAATGCAGTTATTTCATCCTCACCATATCATACGTTTCCCATAACTTCATTTTTAATACACAAATCCAAGGTAATTGAAAAAATCCTCCAAAAAGCAGATCTGGAGGCAAACACTTAGGATGTAAGTATAGTAGTATAGGATGAAATATAAGGCCAAAAATTGTAAGCAGCTTAAAATAAGATTTTCAACATTAAAAATTCATGGCATTCTTAACTACTAAGTTGCCAACTTGCCTCCCCACACCACATACTTACCTCCAGATGATCAGACTTCTCCTGAATTTGTTTCTCTAGTTCTCCTCTAGTTACTCGGAGTTTTGCATCCAATTCATTTGACTTAATTTCTTCTGACTCCTAAAAGAACATAAGCAGATTTTGAGAGTTTCACATTCCCCTTTATGGTTTTCTGAGCATATACACAGCTTTTCACATCACATATAAGAATGTGAACGTGCCAAGCAAGACCTCCACATTGCACGTCAATCAAGAGAACCATTCCCCCTTCTATTTAACAACTTTCCAAGTAAAGGAACCAGTGACTAGTCATCTCAGCTTTTCAGCTTACACGAGATAATTCTTCCCGATACAGCTTAAGACAGAAACGGAGGAATAAAGAAGACTCAAACGCTAAACACTAATTTCACCTCCTAAGAACACATGCCTACCTGATAAGTTTTTATCATTTCTTGACAGTTTTTCCTGATCTGGTCTGCTTCTTCTTTTGCTTCAGTTAATTTTGTCATTGCATCTTTGAGACGTTCTTTGGTTTCCTATAAAAACAGGAGAAAATAATGGGTTAAACCTATTTATCTACCTTTATCTGGGAAAAGCATTTTTCCTAATACAAGCTTCCTATTTCAGTCAGGAAAGAATTAACAAAATAACAATAAAAAACCCCATCTGGCATTATTTTTCATCTTGCCTCCATTCAACTATTACTTCATGCAATTTTGTTTGTTCCAACACTGAAAGCACAACAAAAGCATCTCCTGGTTACGTGCCATGAACATTTTCGGATGACAGATTTAACATCACGTAAAAACTGACGGTTAATTAACAAAACACAAAAACACCCCCAAATTAAAAGTTCATCACCAGATTAAACAGAATTCCCCCACACATCCTCCTCTCACCTCTTTTCAACATTTCCATCTCAGTATCAGTATCTTTAAAAGCACTGTTCTGGCTTTAGCTGCAGGCATTCATATTAAACAAAACCCACTTTAAAAACAGATTTTAGTAATATACACACAGTATAGTAACTACATTCCTCTGACTACATTTTCACGTCATGGTATCAGCACCACTTCACTAACCTTGTGTGAATCCATTTCTGTTTTCAATTTGTTCTGAGCCCATTTGACTTTGATAACGTGAGAATTAATTTCTTCTTTCAATTTTTCTATTTCTCTGTTGAGTCGAGTGGCTTCACCATCCTGTGAAAATGTCATGGATTTTATTTTAGCCATTAAATCATCCAGTGCTTCTACAACAAGTCTCCTGCTCAAGTGTCAAATGCAGGGTTTTATTTTCCTTAAATGTGTGGATTTTACAAAAGCATGCACATTCTTGAGAGCAGTCAATAATGCTTTAGTCCATAATACACTGGAAAAAAGCCCATTAGTGTTCTGGTTTGAATAGCAAGGTAAGACTATATATTCATTGTATACATCAATGTTACATATTTGTTTTAAAAGTCAAAGTATGGCATAGTGCTCCAATCTAAAATAAGTATCTCCTGTGTAAGCTGCATGGCCCTGTTTTTGTTCTTTTTTGGTAAAAGGATGAGAAATCACAGGTGTGAAGTGGTAAAATCATATATTATACAAAGCTACAGAAAAATAATAGTGTCACTAATGGAATGGTAATACTAACTACAGAGGTGCAAACCAGTGTGAGCACCTGGCGTGAGCAAAACATACCTGGTATAGTAGAATAGATCCCTGCCCGTGGCAGGGGTTGGAACTAGATGAGCTTTAAGGTCCTTTCCAACACAAACCATTCTATGTTTCAATGATATGCAAGTCAAATCACTAACCTGTGCCAAGAAGGATGTAAACACATGCATACTCCTAGTGTAACCTTCTCCACTAACATCCGTAAACCAGTGCATTAAATCAAACTTCCATTCTGTGTTTCTGAAGCCATAGGCTCATCTTACAAAAGAAGTTTAAAGCAGCACCATATGAGGGCAGCACAAGTCCTATAAGGCTTTAGTGTAATCCTCAGGAGACAGAGAGTATATTACGTTTTGTTTAGAAAACCTGAACTCACACTCCTGCTTCCTGTTCATGTGAGACAGGATTCTGTAGTGAATGGTGGTTAATGGAAACATTAACTTTTAGAATTATGATGTATTTTTCTGACCCTTCTGTGCATAGTACAATTGCCCAGAAGAGGGCCAAAACAAAGTTTGAGCCTTACTACCCATTTTTTGGTCTTTCATATGAAATAGAATTATGAAGCAGAACAAAAGAAGACCTGGAAAATTTAAGAGGCTGGTGGAAATCTCTTACCAGCTTCTAAAAAAAAGAATGGCAGATTATTTGAATTGAGCCTGAAAAATCCTATTATTTTATTACTAATTTCTAGTACCACAGAAAATACAGAGCAAAACCACACAAAAACCAGCAAGAGACTGCAAGAATTTAATGTCATTACAATCTTAAAATAAATCCAACCAAGCTAGAAATTCCCTCAAAATCCAGGCATTTGCAACAAGCAGTTTTTTCAGTTAAAGAAAAAAGCCCTCATGCTTCACAAACTAATATTCAAGGAAATATGAAAAGGAACTTCAAAAAGGCAATGAGAACTCAGTAACTTCCTCTCCTTCCCTTGAAGAAAAGGGTTTTTTCACAGTAGTACAGCCAAACTGAAAGAAAAGAGGTTTCTTCCACCAACAGCAAACAAGTGATAAGCTTGTTCTGATAGTGCTTTTAATCATTCACTCAAGTCACACAGCTTAGAGTACCTTCGTTTCATAGAGCTGGTGCAACCTTCCTTTTTCCTGAGAAAGCTGTTTGATTTTATTAGTATGCTTTTCTATCTCTTTGTTTGCATCTCTCACTCTTCTCTCAAGTGTCTCCTTTTCCTTTCGGAGATCAAGCGACTCCTTCTCCCCTCGGACGTACTTCATCACCATTGTTTCTTTCTCATGGCGTGCTTCTTCACACTTCTTGTTTGCCTTAAAAATATGAAGACAGAAGGAATCAATCCTGTATTTCATAATTAGCCTTCATAGGACATTACTGGATATTTTCAGTATCACAGTATAGTATCAGAGTAGGAGTCAAAAGGTCCAGCTTTGCAAAGACTAACGTTATATCCCACTTAAGTACTGCAATTACTCATACTTCTAACAGTAAATCTGTATCTAAGCAGCTGCAGCTTCACAGCCAAACATCTCAAATGCGATATCAATATATTAGTAACTTGGACTATAATTTGTTGTTTCAGAAGGAAACAAGTGTATTTGGTAAGATTCAGTAACAAAATAATTTTGCAAATACCAGTGCTACTCCTCTGCCTTCCCTCACCCACATGCCAACTGCACAATCAATATACAGTGTCTTATTTCTGCAGATTCCCCTCACCCCACACCTAACAAATTCTGCTTCAAATTACATAAAAATAACAAAAAAAAAAAAAAAAAAATCGAATATAGCTTTAGAATTCACACAACAGAGAAAACACTTGGCATAATATGATACTAAGAAGTGAAAAAAATAATCTGTTTTCAGTAATACAAAATAAAAGCTTTGTGCTGGAGCCAAGAAAAATATTAATTTCATGATATCCTGACTGAAAAAGCCACTGCCAGCCTTTTTTAACTTCCTTCTGAAGCAGGATCAGCTTATAGGCAAAAAAAATGAGATTGCCTCAAGAGCCCAATTCCACACAGATAAATATACACATTAAAAACAGTTATCAGGCACCCTAAAATGTTAACAGCTATTTAGAAATTCACTGATGACACTTACCAAAAAAGCATACATAACTTCATGCTGGTAGCTCCCATTTTGGAACATCCTGCCTTACCCAGTTATCTAACAACTGAGGCTACATTTTTCCTACCAGAACTAAGGTTGTTCATAAGATGATTTCAACAATTAAAGGTTTTCCATATTACCTGTTCCATTCGAAAGGCCATCTCTTTATGCAACTGCTGAATAGCATTTTTGGCTGCTGCATCTTGAGTTACAAGTTTGTCTTTACTAGCTTTCAATTCTTTATTAAGCTCTTCCATTCTCGCTTCCAGCTAAAACAGATTATTATATAATTATAGGGAAAATAAGACTTTAATTGTGTTTCATACAGGCAAGAAAATTTTGCACAACATTAGAAGCTTCAACAGATATTTACATGTATTTTACACTTGTCAAGCTGCAACTATCCCTATTGACACCTAGCTTTGCATTACAGCATGAGCGTGAAAGATGTCAATTCTCATCTTCAGCAAGACTGAAGATGCATCAAGTCAAGTAAAACATGAGGCATAGTAATTTACTACACAAAAAGTTAAATTGACAGGAAAATGCTGAGATGCCAGAGTAGAGCTGGCTGCTCTCTGAAGCTGCCTCACCTTCCACACCCTTTTGTTGCTATCCCTGTGCCATATCCTCCACCATGCCAGCAAAGCAGTCATGCATTCAAACTGAACTGGGAATTAAATCTTTGAAAAATAACCCAGCAAATAGAGAGGTGCTTAGTCATTGTGCTGGCACATTTTTAACCACCTAGTGAAGCAAGTCAGTGATCCAGCTGAAGAATAATTACCAGTGTTCAATTGGAACACATCCAGTGCATGTTCACTGCACAGCTAGGCAAGTCCAGTACAAGCGGCAGCAGCCCAAGAGCAAGTTGTGAGCATAAGCTGTAATACGGTCCAAAGGCTGTTCAAATTGTGCCTTAATGACTATCTGCTTGCTCCAGGGGAAGCCAAGTCACCACAGTTAAGTTGGCTTGGTTTTGGGGTTGGCGTGAGGTGTAAGAAGCACAGGGTCCATATCTTACATTTTTGGGCTACTCTGAACTGCTGGAAGAATAAAAGGGAAGCAAAACCTCAAATGTTTCTGTTACCACACAATAAATTGATCACACCCTCTTCAGCTCTGCAAATGAATCACTGCCCATACCAAAAGGTTTACGTGTACAAGCACGTCTTTATGGTTTGCTTATGGCTGTGAGCGCAGCCAAGCTTTCATTGACTTGAAAGCCAGCAGAACACACTAATCTACAAATTGTAAAATAAAACACATCACAAATGAAGAAACTTCAAGTGTTTTACTGTGATGTCTCTTACAACTTCAGGTGCTACCCAACTACAGTATAAAGGTATTATCCATACTGGTATTTTCTGATATTACTTGGAAGCATGTAATATCACAAATCCTACCATCCTACTTATCCAACCAGAAAGCAAAGCAAACTCCCTTACAATTTGTTCCCCCCCCCCCCCCCCCCCCCAAATGGGATAAAGCAATTGTTGCATGATACAGCACTGTATGATTTCATGAAGCTATCATGGAAACACAAACAAGAGAGAATGAGTAAGCTTCTCATACTGATTTATATTCAGGCATATGCAATTCCAGTTTGCAGCTTAAAAACAAGACTTTTCAATTCCATTTTCAATCACATCATGGATTTTTAAGATTCTTTGACATTAACAAAAGACAGACTAAGCTTTTACATACATGAACATTCCTCTGCAGCACTACTAGCCCAATACACTGCTTTGGGAACAGATTTCTGCGCAATGCAGACACTAACGGAGAAACCTGACAACTAGGGTAGTATCAGCAGTACTTTGACAAATTAGTATTCTAAATGTTCTCTCCTGGCAGATTCCCAAGCTGTAATCAGTGTATGAAGCTGGGCAACAAACTGTAGGAACATTAGCATATAACTTTATATCAAACAAGCAATGACATCTGAGATGATACCTTCCTTCCCATACTAATAACAGCCTACACCAATGCACGCTCTATGTTCCTCTTTGACCTGTCATGGTTCTAACAATTCACTAGGGAAATGCTTGTGTACAGTAACTGAAAATACCAAAATAACATGCAAAGACCACAGTTAATATGCTCTACTCTTTATACACTTTCCACATATTGTTAACTGCTGTAACTACACCTCCAGCCACTTCTATTAGCAGATATAGGAGTTAACAGAAGATAAAGATGACAAATTAAGACCTCCTTTAAGCCTACATACAAGAAATAAATCATCCCATCAGGATGAAAGATTGAATGCATCATTCTCTGTAAAATGACACAGCCTTCAACATACACTTTCTCCAGCAGAAAGCCAAGGTACACAAGACTCACCTTTGAGGGCAACCCATGAAATGGGAACTCTCTTGACTTGAAGAGAGACTTGCAGAAACAGAACATTTAAGTGAAGTGAATGTAGAAAGTCAATTTATCCAAAGACACTATCTGCTTTTAGACAAAGAATATTTCTTGGAATGGAAGAGCAGATTTACCCCCTTAAGTTTAGCATAATAAGCACAGGCATTCTCTCCTTCTCTATGCTACCAAGGATGTCTTGTCACTATTGCCACTGTTTAACACTGTATACAAGTCTGACACTAAACAGCGCTTCTGGTTTATTATCTGTACCTGTTTAATAATGTTGAGGTGCTGCTTTTCTGTTTCTGTTCGTTTTTTCAATTCATCTTTTAAGTTCTCCTTTTCTGAGCAGATTTCTAAAATAAGTTCTTGATGTTTTTTATTTTCTTTAATCAACCTGTAAAGAAAAACAAATAAAACATCATTACTGCGGGGGGGGGGGGGGGGGGGGGGGGTTGGTTGGGTTTAGTTTTGAGATTTTGCTCTTTGATCTGCAAATTCTATTGGGAGTCACAGCCAGAAATACTAGTGAAATCCAGGACAGCCTTACAAAACCAAATCAGAACTACATTGTGCTTGTGACAATTCCAAACCAGCATCTTCTTTGTGAGGAAACTGCTTGTTTCCAGCATTTTGAGATTACATGGCACATGATAACATAAGACATCTGGTACCTCTATGCAGCTACAGAACTGCAAATGTTAATAATTTTCAGGTAGTCATAAGACAGTAGCTTCCAGCTCTGACAGTCAGATGTCTGGAAACACAGATACTGTAGTCATTTAATACAGCCCTTGAAGTTCACAACCTGGTAAGAGACACAACCCTGCTTTTTCCAGTACTAGTAAGTATGTAACTACTACAATAGCATTCATGCTCATGCTCCTTATAAAGTTCAGGTTTATTGAGCAGTAGTTTGTTCCTTTGCAGCTGAACTGTTTAGAGCCTGAGCTGAAGCTGACATATTTAGTCTGACCTAGCACTACAATAAAAGACAGCTACACCCAAAACTCAGACGTTATAATGTCAGACTGCTGAATAAAGAGAGTCTCAAATATATTTAGATGTTTGAAGATACAGCTAGATGATGGATATTTTAGGCCACTAACTGCATGAATTTGTGGGAAGCATGCATTTACCTAACCAAGATATTTAAACATCCCTTTACACATACACTGCCACCTCTAGCTTACCTCCTTTGAAAAAATTCACTGAAGAAATGAGTCTACTGAATTACAAGGAATTCAAAATCATCAGTGCAGGAAAGCTTAGCACTTCTGATCTGGTTTTTAATCTATTAATGACTATTCCAGGACTGCAAATTCTTCATTCACACAATTGCTGCTCAGATATATGTCCTAGATCTGACCACTGGGCTACTGCCAGAGCAACACAACAAGCAATTCTGCTAATCATGAACTAAGGGACAAAATCAATCCAACCCAGAATGCCCTTTGGACCAAACATAAAATGTTCCACAGCAGTTTTAACACTCTTGAGGTGAGTCCCCAAGAGTCAAAGGGGTACAGCTGGGGCAGCTGGCAAAAAGAGAGACCAAAGACATGTTTATATGTAAAACTGTCTGTAGGTATACATAATACATGCATGTCTTTAAGAAAGTAACTGGTCCATGGCCAACAACACTGACCTGCCTTTGAGTTTACTGTAAACAATTAAAACCCAGATAACTTCTAAATTTATGATCTCCTGGAATTACAACCATCTACACACCCACCACTTCAGATTCCCACTCCTCCTCCTCTGTAATTACTGAATGTTTAACTAGGTACTCCCAAGCTTTCTTGTCATCAACTTTCCTCTCACATTTATGATTTCTGTCAGAGGTTAACTGCTGAGGTGCTTTTTCTAGTGGGCATCTCTCTGCCTAGTTTCCCTCCCAAACCAGGTATCAGAGCCTTATATAAAGAGTGGGACACTCATTTGCATCTCTGAAAGCAGAAATAAATTTGGAGTTGGAGACTACATTTTGTTAGCAAAAAACACTTCTAAAGGGGTAACAGAATATGAAACACCATGTGGGTAATGAAGAAATCAAACAGTGAACTGTCTTTGATATAAATATTTTTATGTAGTATACGGCCTGGTAGAACCATTGAGCCCAGTTTATTATAGCAAATTTTATCAGCCACGCATTTCAAAAGCCCCCCTATAAAATGCGGTAAGACAGTAGTTTATCTATGTATGACATCTCCAACTCAGAGATTAGCTCTGAACTGCTTAGCAACTTTGCTGTATCATAGCAGGAGACTGGATACTACTTGAAAAAGAAACAAGCAATTTCACACTCAAATAAAATATACATTGTGAGAGCTAGTAATTATGAAGATTAATTTCTCCAAAGACATACATGGACTGAATGAATCCTGGACTATTTTTATATAGCCCTTACTTTTACAGTATTTGAGTAGTTCCAGACATTGGCAGGCTATTCAACTCAACAGTTGGCTATTCAGTCCCTGCCAAATCCCACAGTAATTCAGAGATCTAAGCACACATTTGTATTTACAAGCACATGCCACAAGTAGAAATAATTCCTCACTTAAAGAACATAATTAAAAACGCTCATTAACTGTCTTTGTAACAACTCACAAGAGACTACTTGGTTCATACCAAGATGTTGTATGCAGCTGCACACAACATGCAACCGAAAATGTTCAGTACATGACTCCAATTGTGATGAGCATGTTCAAATACTCACTTTCTTATAGTCTGTTCTTGCTCCAGGTATTTCTCTTGCACACACTTTTCAAACACAGCCAAGGCATGTTCACCCTTCCGCACACCATTGGGGGATTTTCGCTCCTTCGGAAGATCTGTAGATAAGAGTTCAGACTCTATTTCCTTTAGCAAATCCTCCTGTGAGGAAGTCTGATGGATTGTGGAAATAAGCTTCTTTGTGCAGTCTGTGTCGTAGGGACTTTCGGAATAGATTTTATCGCTTGAGTTTTTCACAAAGTCAGACTCCTCCCTTAGCTCCTGTAATATTTCCATCAACGACTGTTCCGTCTGGTTAGTTTTGGGATCTTGCTGTTCAAATTCTTCACTAGATAAATGTTCTGGTTCTGTGGAGCCGTCTACCTTTCTATCAGAGCATGCATTCGCACAGCAGTCTGCCCCTCCACACTGCTGCTCCAGTCTTTCTGCCAGGGCTCCATTGCTGCTTATGCCAACAGCTGCTGAATCCTGGTCCAAGGGCAACAACCTGGATTCCCCTTCCAATAAACCAGCATCAGCTCCAGTATAACTGATGCTTGAGCAGTCCTTCATTCCAGGTCTTTCATCAGTCTTCTCATTACCTGGGGACCCCAAAGAGGCATTATCTGAGACATTGACTGGCTCCAGCACACTTTGAATTTCTGGTAGATGTACCTCCATCTTTTTCCTTTGCAAATCTAGAAATAAAAACCACATTACAAAACATATTATACTCAAAATCACAATGAAAAGAGACTGAGGGGAAGGAATGGCTATTGGAAAGCAAAACTGAAAGGGCAAAACTATTCAGATACTTAAGTGTTATGCAGAGCTTGTTGATTTTCCAGCCTGACTTAAAAGTAAATGCTCCAATATAAGTTTTTCTAAGAGAAAGTGAGAAATCAAGGATAGCAAATGGGAAGTAATGGGATAGTAAACGCCAAGACAACAAGAAAGCAGCAGAGCTTTTTAAAATTATATCAACAAAAATTCCACAAAATCACTTCTGAAAAACACTTCAGACATAAAATAACAAAAAATATGCAAGACTGTAGAGTCTTAGACCTTTCATTTTCCTATATACGATTTGAAAGCAACAACGTGTCATGATTTATCATTTTTACAACAGTGCAACTCCCTCATCCAGCCAGAACATTCAACTTCCTTACTGTCACATCCTCGCTCACCACCCATACAGAAAAATGTATCTGTACCCACATTCCATAAAGGAAGGGGCTGGGGGAGGATGGGGGTGAGATTCTCTTTTCCCATCTGCTTTCAAGCAACCAAAAATCCCCTTGTGGAAAAGCACAGATGGTCTACAGCAGATCTGCACAGCAGACACCAGAGGACTTGAAAAGCTGTGTAAAAAGTGTTCTATTAGGAGGACATCATACTGAGATCCAAACAGCCAGAACTCTTATGGAAGAGCCTGGGTAGAATGCTCTATCTTTGTTTTCAGGAGTCCCAGATGGTCAGGTGTCTGCAAAGACCGCTGGCATTTTTAGAAAGCACATGAAGCCTTTATATCATTTCAATTAGAAGTTCACCACAGCAGTAGTAACTTTTACACGCAATCCTATCCCCCAATACTGGATAAATGAGTCTAAAAACAAGGCAAATTTCTCATTTATAAATTCAACTCTGCTATTCCAACAACCATCTCAAAGCAATCTTGCAACACCAAGCTTGTTTTCATACTTGCTTTCTCTTACGCAGTTCCGCAGCCTGAGTCATACAGCTACAAGCTCCAGGCCCTGCACTTTGACTCGGTGTGGAAACAAACCCTTTGTGCTGCTTGGCTCCTCTCCTCCAAGTCATGCCTAATTAACCACCACGTAGTACTGAGGCTTACGCTGGTAAAACAGACGGATACATGAATCCTGTCAGGACTGTGACTAATTGCTACCATTATCGCCTTTCAATATTGGGTATAAAAATCAGGTAAGCAAAAAAGCAGTAGCCTCGTCCCAAATGTTTCTACCAGGAAATACTATCAAATTAAAACTTCATATCTGAAACCAACAGTTGGGCTGTAACTGTGAGCTATTCAACAAGAGGCAAGCATAAAGGATAAGGATAAAAGTATGAAAGGGAACATGCCACAATTCGACAACATCAAATGACAATTTTACATTTTTAAGTAACAAGCAAACCACTTTTCTTTCTTGGTTTTAAAGCAAAAAAATCTCAGTGCTATAGCCCTAATCCAGTACAAACCAGTAAGAACCAGAAAGCAAATGATAGCGAATTCTGAGAATAGAGATGGTCAATGTGAGAGAATTCACCCACTTGTCTTGTGAAGCCAAAACAGTGGCTTTCTTTGCGCCTATACTTTTTGATAACTTCTGCTAGTAATGAAAGTTCACAACATACTGGCTCTTATTCCAAAATAAAACAAACCAACAAAAAAAAACAATTATGATCTCAATCTGCAAGCAGAGAACAAACATAAGAAGCAGCATTCAATTTGACAGTAGCAGAACACACTAGATCCTACTTCATTAAAAAGCTGTTAAAAAAAAACAACGTTTTGAGACTAGTACATTTAGTAGAGTCAATAACCATAAGAATTTATATATTATGCAGCTGAGGAAACAAAAACACACCTAGTATCTGCTCCCTCTTGTCACAGGCAGTTTATAACCCACAGACTCAGCTGTAAAAAGAGACTGCATCAGTATAAGGCTGAGGTACCGTCTTTCTCTACAGCAGTTACTCTAGTCTAAGTTCTTGGTGACATTTTCTCTGGAATGATTCGAGGGTTTTATTAGCTCATTTAAAGCCTTTTCTAAAGTACCTCTTAAAGATAAACCCCCAAAATGTGCAGTTTTAGACGCAGGACTGCCTCAAAGCTGCTCATCGCTGCCCAACCTCTGCAGTTCTTCACTCCCATGTGGTAAAATCAGATACATGAACTTCCATATTGGTTGTTACACCTAAGAAGTCCAGTCAACAAACTGGATGGGATTTCATATGAAAGCAATGGGTGAAAAATACAGCCCTGTTAAGACAGCACATTGGAAGGAATACTAAGTTTTCATCTTACCGTGCTTCTTCCTTCTGTAAATAATACTGTGAATTGATGTTAGAAAGATTAATCTCTGTGGAAGCAGAAATACAATTATTTGCATAACTCAATTAGTCACAGAGCAATAAAATGCCACCAACTCCATATCATCTTACACTTAATATCAATCATAAAGCCTAGGGTTTGTATCAAATGCATGAGAAATTTGAACAGTGACTATACAAATCAGTTAAAGCATGAAAAGGGAATTATGATGATTCAGTGTTCCCTGCAGACCTACTCTTAATTTTCAATCATACACAGAATACAATTCACCACATTAATTTCCCAGTCTTTTCACTGCTAATACACTGGATTTTGTATGTATCTACCCAAATCTGAGTCTGTTCATGGCCAACACACATCTTCTCATCCCCCACTGCCACTGAATAGTTTTCATGTACTAATTACTAACTTATTTTCACATCAGAAAAATCCGAAGGAATCATGTGAGGCAACTGTCAATGTAAGTTCATCTTGATATTCAAATGTCTCTGGAATACTCAGTTTGTTACGCCTACCTCAGATAACTGAATATAGCAAATACCTCCTTCTTAAGGCCAGAGACAGAAAACTACAGTAAGAATATTAAAGGCTTTTTGTAAGCAAAAGGTTTTGTGTGGCAATAGCTTAGAAGGATCAATACTGCTGGCCTAGCAGTAGCTGGCTGAAATGAAACATGCTAATATTTGACAGTTTTTTTGTCTCAAACGCACAAATACAGCAAGTCCCGGATATTATCTGGACACCAGATACATATTTGATGGCAGCTCCATGTCTTTCCAGGTTTAGTATCTATCTTTCATTATTCTAACTGTTCTTGTCTTCCAAAATCAGGAAAGTACTAAACTTATGGTATCATTCTCTTACAAAATATTGCATTAAGAAAACAAAATAGCTTAGTGTCTTTTATATCTTCAGAAGGTGTCAAAAACAACAAAAAAAGGCAAATGGTAACTCAAGTAGATGAGCTGGTTTATGAGATGATGTTTACTTATCAGCCAAGCACACAGTATGATGAGTACCAGCAAAATGCCAGGGGAACACTGGTGACCTTCTACCCTTAACCACTTGCTCTTCTCTTTCCTCAGGGTTGATCATCAAACCATGGCAAAAGTGTCTTGCTCCTCAGTGCCCTCCAGGTGATGTGTGTCTCACCCTCACAGTACATGTGCTGTAGGAGGACAGAATCACTACCATGTCAATTTAAACCCAGAGCAGGAACTTTGAGATTAGCCCAGCCCAAGCCTGACTGCATACCTCAAATAGCCATCCATCTTGTGAGACTGCCATACAGCCAGCGTAGCATGTGGAAAGCTTTCTGTCACTGCCTTGTGACACTTTCCGCTGCTGTGACAGGACTCGGCACTCACACAACTGGTCTGACCAGTCCTCCTCCAGCTCCCCATTAGTTTGACACTAATACACCTTCCCCATGTTCCTGCCCCTATTCTAAAGCTAAGGAGACAGCCCTCTTGTGTGTTCCCCACAATGCATTACCACAAAGCACGTGGAAACGCATCAATTTGAAACCTGGCGATGGGAGTAGCAGAGAATGAGGAACAGGTACACAGCTCAGCCAAACTCCATTTAGAGCAGCAACAGGCCCACAGGGGCTGTTTGCACAAGTAAAGAAAAGAGTTCTCTGCATATATACACCAAAATACAGACAAGTTGCACCCTGCAAAACCAAACCTTCGCCTTTTTCAAAGAGGCACTGTTTTTTCATCATAAATGTGTTCTCCAAAGCAGCAAGGAGCGTACATACTTTACCTCATCTCATGGTACTTAGAAAAATTAAGCCTGCATCAGCCCATCTGATGCTCATTTTAAATATTACATTAATACCTGAAGTAGTTAAACTGCAGTCACAGAACACACAGCATTAAAGGTGAATACTGGCAAAGGCTGCAACTACTCATACAACTGTAACTGAGATGCGCTTATCTGCTAAACTGCTGATTGCGCAACTGACTCAAAAGCAAGCAGCAGAGATCCTGCCAGTACAGCCAGGGGACAGCACACCATCTTTTTATGGCAGAAATGTCTCACAGGTATGTAAGAGAAGGCAAAGACTCAGGAAATAGTGGGGTTTTTTATTCACTTGCTTTGTTACACAATAGAAACATCCTTCTTATTAACTGCTAACCAAATGGAAAAGGTAACAAACATGGCAAACACTCACTTAAGCTCCTCAGTGAAGTATGTGATACAATAGGTACTGATTATCTAGGGAGATCATTGAAACCCCTGACACATGATCCTGAAACATGCCTCAAAAAAAAGAAAAGAACATTTCTTCTAGCTGCCTCCAGTAGCAGTCATCCTTAGTGCTTGTTCACTGGAAGAATTCTGTATTTTTCTGCACAGCAGACAGCCTAAGACCCATCACTTTGACATCAAAATTTAAGCCTTTCTCTCCCCCTCTCTACTTCCCCTTCTTTCTGCCCATTACTCACTATAAAGTGAAAGAAAATGCTGTAATAAGGATGTAAGACAGAGGGAGGGGGTAAAAGAAAACCTGAGTATCAAAGTTGTTCCTTTCCATACATGCTTCAACAGTAAACTCTCACTTCAGAGCTCATTCACTGGCACAGAGAAAAGCAAGTTTTCTAACAGTCAAGCCTC